TGTCCCACACTGACCTCGATATGGCTGCGCGTGGCGCTCAACGTGATCATGGTTCTGATATTCCTCCTCGTCGCGACCCCGGCGTCCTGTCCCAGACTGATCCCGATCTGGGCATGCCGCTCAACGTGATGGCTGTGTTCGTAGCCATCCACCTCAACGTCGGGATAGCGACKTGCCAGTCTGATCCTCATCATCCGGGCGCGCCCTGGTCATCGTGGCGTGGCGCGCTCTGTCTGTTGTCGTCCTCTCAACCATCTCCGTGAGCCTGAAGTTGCAAGCCAAAAACCGGACTTACTGTTGCATACCATCACGGTGCAGACCAGACCAAGAACCGATCTTTCTCGCCAGATACAAGATRGCACAGCGGAAGGCTCAAATACCACTGATCCGATCAATCAAGCTGCCATGCAGACCAAACATACATCATCATCATTTCATGGCGTGAAGGGGCTGACCCTCACACAGGAAGAATGCGTCAGTCCCCTGATCATGCACAGACGAAGAAGAGGGGGAGGGGGAAGATGGAAATGTCGTCAAAACCAAGTCTTGGATACAGTCCCAAATAATCCCTCGCCAAAGGTCTGATTCCCGATGCTGAGTCTGAACCCAAATGTCGTCAGATCCCAATGTCGCCCATCTCTCTCTCTCTCTCTCTCTCTCTCTCTCTCTCTCTCTCTCTGATAGATACGGAGAAGTCAGGAAGCGGGAGGGTGAGGAAGAGATGGCGGACTTAGAGGAGGAAGAAGAAGACTCAATCTCTCTCTCTCTCGTAGTCCGGTACTAACCTGGAAAGGTGGCGCCTGGCTGCAGGTATGGGGAAGACGGAGCTGGAGCTATGGCGCCACAGGTGAGTCTCACTGGCCTCCACCAACCATCTCTCTCCCTCTCTCTCTCTACGCTCCTACTAGCGCCCAGCGCTGAAGACCTCAGCTTGCCGCTGCCAGATCTTGAAGACTGCCTCCTGCCTTCTGTACGTGAAGTGCCTGTCAACTCCTGCAGCCTACAGGGCGGGTCAGCATTATATAGTGCTGGCCCTGTCTCTTATACACATCTAGATGTGTATAAGAGACAGCCTGCAGCCTACAGGGCGGGTCAGCATTATATAGTGCTGGCCCGTCCGAGAGGCTGCTCGTGCCTATGCCAAAACGTGCCAGACCCTGGGGTTGACGCTCCACAAAATAGGACATCATGGCCTGAGCTAAACCCCGGTCTGGTGCCTGAGTTTCAGGGTAGGTCGATCTTGCGAGGACCTGAAAAATGGCCCGTCGTTTTCAGGCTGGAAGCCGAAACGACACAGGGCCTGCAGGCCCGTCYTTTTCAGGCTGGRGSCCSAAACGACACRGGCTCTACTCCTACGGACCCTTAGTCTACCAGGTCGGGCTCTGCTGGGCCCGTGTGGTACGGAGTATGCCACACTTATGCTCCCCAGAATGGATATGGACCAGAACCATAAGGACCTGTTTCTTTTCAAAAGAAAAGCAAATAGAAGAAGGTAGATGTTTACCAGCCGCCAGAAGAAGTTTGTGGAARACAACGGCTATGGCCGCGCTGCTMTCTGTACTGTTGTTGAMGTCAACAGTAATCGACCRAYAGCAACAAAGKAACCCTCGCTCAGCACGGTCCGCTAAWAAACAAAAYGGCACACCAAAATGAAGCCGCTTGCYAGTGTTTGGATTTTGCAACCTTTTTTCACACATGAAGGCCGTGAGATAATCACCACAATCGCCTGGGGCACGTCTGGTGCCAGCSAGCTGAGATGGTCGGCTTGCTCCACCTGGTCGGCATGAGCAGGGTCTTTAGCCAACTCGCGCGTGCGTGAGAGCGGGTTGTGTGTGGTGATTATCTGGGCGCGCTGTTCGTCTTTCCCCCACCCCCTCTTCCCCCAACCCAATTAGTAGGGTCTTTAGCCGACTCGGTGGGGGTGGGGGAAGAGGCGGGAGGGGAAGAACAAAAAGGCGACGCAGCTACTTTTTTTTTGCCCAAAGTGTTGTAGAGGCCAAGGACCAGACCCGCAGTGATTGCTGGCAGCGGCAGCCAATGGTTGTCCTGACAGGATAGGCCACCTACCCTACCCATCCCCACGTTAATACTCCCAGCGCACCCCCTGTCCCTACTATCCTMCCTCAGTGTGACCAGCACTCAGGACCCGCCAAAATGCTCGCTCAACCCAGCCCGTGTGGCTGACTTCGAATCCARACGGGTAAAATAGTCCTTCCGCRGGACATCCGTTAAAATTGGAAAGATGCAGAGAAGATGAGCATGGCCMCTRTGCAAGGATGACCCGCATAAATCGAGAAATGAGCCAGTCAATTCGATGATGATATATCAAGGTTGTGGCCCTTTTTTTTCCCTGAAAAAAAGAAGGCGCTCGATCTAATTACCTGGGTGCTCTGTTTGCTTTCATGGCAGGAGGGCAGCAGAACATGGTTTGTAACAATCAACCATTTTGTTGCTTGATTGTTATTAGATTGGATTTCGCCAGATTAGGGGTGTCTAATAACGGTGGTGCGAGGGTTTGATCCCTCGGCATAACCGCATAAGGCCTTGCATCTGTCACGTGCCCACCCTAAGTGAAGGCGGCCCCCGACTTGCCCTGAACTTGTCAATTTTTGAAGGCATATGGTCTCGTTAGACACTCCTAAAAKAATCCTAAAATTTTTAGGACGAGTCCTAAATGTTTTTTAGGATTCCGTGCGGCGTCGTTACACGCAATCCTAAAAATCATCTTTTAGGATTCGTCCTAAAAGGTCTCCCGCAACCGTTTTTCATATGCGTATACGCAGCTGCACCGMCGATGTCCGTCCATTCCTGGCTGGTGTCCGTGGTACACACTGCGGTSGCCCTTGGGCGGGTGAGGACGGGTCGGTGAAAAGCGCGGTCACCCAGAACTTCGAAAATTCAAATTCAAATTTTCGCGGACGCAGGGTGGGGGGGGCGGAGGACGGTCAGGCGACGCGTGTGACGTAGAAAAGACGGCGCTGGCGAACCGTTCGGCGTGGGTATCCATCTTTCGAGTCTACGTAAKTTGTGAGCAGCGGGCACATATTCCTGCAAGGCGCATCTTCACCTCCGGCGTGCGTACTGTCCTGTGGAAGTGTAGAGCAGCGGGCGCGTCTTCGGCTCCGGTGTGCATCATCTCCTGTGGCAGCGTACAGCAGCGGGCGCATCTTCGGCTCCGGCGTGCGTGGTCTCCTGCGACAGGGTTGATCAGCGGGTGTGTCTTCCGCGGCTGTGGAAGGCGTCATGCTATAGACGCGGAACGATTGTCAGAGATGGACGTTCGCAGCTGCGGGCACGGTCTACGCGAAGAAGAGATCGACCCGGTGGCGATGGCGGTGACTGTCGTCGTCGTCAACACGATGAGCGACATATCGTCGTCCTCACGCGACATGGTGATGCAGCTCCGCAAACGAAGAGCGTTGTTGCATAGCTTTGCCGAAGCGCCGGATTGCGTGGCCACGTGTGAGGCAGTCGTCCAGCTGTGTGTCGCGCTGTCGTCTGGCGTTTTCCCGCGGCAGACCCCGCGTTGGTGGATTAGACGACGGACTGGCGGAACATGGGAGGACCTCCGCCTGTGTGATGACGTGGCGGACGAGTACTACCAGCAGAAGTTGCGCATATCGAAGACTATGTTCACCCAGATCGTAGCCGCGTGCGCCGCGTATGTGGAGAAGAAGGTCAGGCACTACAGGATGTAATTGCCAATGGAGCAGGTGATCCAAAGAGACGTATGAGAGCGGCACGTCAGCCTTCGGCATCGGCAGGGCAACTGGACTGCAGGCCGTCCGCGATGTCACTTTGGCGCTGTTGCAGGCGTACCCCGACGCGATAAAGTGGTCAGTGGGCCGTAGACGTGCGCAGATTCTGCGCGCTTTCCGTGAGAAGGGTTTCCCAAACTGCTTCAGCGTAGTCGACTATACACACATCTACATTAACAAGCCCGCCGACGCACCTTCAGCCAACTACTACGACCGAAAACAGAAGTTCTCTGTGCAGGCGCAGGTGGTGGTGGATTTGG